TGTGAGGGTCATTACAGATTCTAAAATCTAAAAAATAAATATACTGTTATGATATTTTGAGCTGAAACGTTAAATAAATAGAAAACAACGTAATTTTGAAATTTTGACAAATTCACGTGAAAAAAAGTAGAGAACACTGACAATAGGGATGTGGAATACTAAATATGAGAAAATTTAGGATAAAATTTATTTAGATATAGAATAAGTTGATGGTATAAAAAGGCAAAATCGTTAAATGAATTAAATCAATCTGTCAAAATAAAGTAAGGAATGTAAATTTTTGAATTAAATAGGCTGTAAAAGGCAACCATATATCGTAGAAAAGTTTAAAGGTACAATAAAGTACAATTTTGTAAAGTTATATGTCATATTGGAGCATTAAAACTAATACTAAAGTATATCATACCTTTCTTTAGTCTATATTTATAAGTGGATGTTCTTTGTATAACTGTATGTAGCGATTTTCGGAATGTCAAACTCATAAGTTGATTTTATGTGAAATTTGTTGTGTAGGAGGTATTTATAAGATGTAAAATGATTCGTGCAGTGTTAAAAAGACCTTCTAGTCACAAAAAACTGTATTATAATCTCAATTTACGTTCCAACTAGTGTATAAACTTTAAAAGTTGTCAAAAACGATGGACCTAAAAACATTTCAGTTAATTGTTAATTCCAACAGATAAAGATTGTTCAGAAAAGTGAAAATAAGTAAATATCAATGTCGTGGAACAGTATTGCAGACATAGAATTAAGCTAGATAGCACAGTTTGGTTAAAATTTACAAAAATAGGTGAAATTTGTAGAATGTTGGAAAATGAATGTAGAAAATAGATACAGACATCAAAATTTAGAGAAAATTGTGTAAAATCAGAATATGTAATAGTCACGCTACAAAAAACATGCATAAAGTCATAATTTTCAATTACAAATTTCACAAAAGTTTAATATGATGTCTCCATAAAAACAAATTCTTTTGTCAACAGTTTATAAAAACTAAAACAGGGCTTGTAGTAGCCAGTCTTTCATAATTTGCCGAACAGTAAACATCGTTGAGTTGTACCTAAAATAAACAAATGAAAATCAAAATTAAGTAAATAAATGGTGAAATTAGTTACCAGGTTAGAACAGGTCAAACAGTATTCACAAGGTAGTACGGCATCTGTCAAGAGGTACAGTTTTCTATCAGTTCAAATTTTCACAACGAACCAAATATCTACTGGAAGTTTATACAATGGGAACGTATGTTAATTAACCGAAAGTGTAAAATATAAATTTGTCAAAAATAAATTAGTGAAGCGCAGTGGACAAATACAACAGCAGGTTAAGTTCAAACCCTTTCTACCAGTGGAAGATTAGACGTATGGTACCATCCTGACGCACCGAAAGCGAGCACCAGCCATAAAAAGAATTACGTTACCGGGGAGGCATGTCTGAAACCAGCATTACTCAATTGTGTAACGTGGGTTATCTACTTTAAATTGGCCAATTAAAAATATTACACCAAACGAATTCGTAATATGAGTCAAACTTAACTCTAAATTAAACTTTCCGTAAATATCAAAGTCGACTATAATTCAAAATGTTCACTCTCTAGAACAAAATATCATAGTTAGTAGATATAACGTAGAAGTATAAGAAATATAAAACTTGTTAAATTGTCCAAATATTTTGAATTTGTAATATAATCTATTTGTAAAATGCTAAGTTGAATTTTTCATTTTCTCAAAAATCTTATATTTAAAATAAATCAACATAAGCCAAAGAAACCACACCCTGATGATCCTAAAATCAAATAAATAGTACAAGACAAGTTCTTGTTGGCGCCCTGGGAAAAATATATTCAAAAAAATATACTCAAAAATAATTAATAAATAAAAACATAACAAAATATAATTAAAATATTCTAAATAATAAATAAAAATAAAAAAAAATTAATAGAAACAAAAACTTATAAACAAAATGTAACAATACATACATACAGGAATAAAATTTTAAAATATGGTGTGCATTTAACTCTTCATCAACTCTTCATTATCTCGGAAATGGTGGTCTGAGGGATTTTACCCAAGTACATCTTTCTTGCTGAAAATTGATGGGAGAATAACCGCACTATAGTCTGTTTAGAAATGAAAGAGAGTAATAAAAGCTCATTATGTATGCAAATCGTAAATAAATGTAGTACTTATATTCAATATTTTTATATTATGTAGTTTCGGTATAGATGAGGTGTACTTTTAAAAAAACTTTGTGCGATCGGACTGTACTAAATTGTAGCAGGTAGCTAAAATTTAATCCCCGACAATCCGTCTTTGTCTATGCCGCTTCAATTTCTCGGTCCATTTCTCTTATAAGTAAACAATATAAAAACAGCATTTCAAAACATGAGGCTACTTTAAGCATCATAACCGGGTTAAGAGGGTTTTTAGTAATTCAAATAAAATTATTCAATATTATTATCAAAATATTTATTTAAATTTAATGAATAGACTTTTATTCCACACAAAAATATATGTATTTTGAAAATTCAAATTATGGTGAGTAAATGTAGTGTTGTATAAATGTACAATAAAGAAAATAAAAAAGTAGGTATATTAAAATTCATCCTCTGAATATTCTGATGAATTATCTTCGTCTCCTAGATTGATAACGATAGGTTCCACAGTAACGTCAATTAAATTATCGAGTTCCCACATTTTCTCCTCTTCTTTTTGTACATGATGTATACATCTTTGCCAGTTATCTGCAGTTACTCGTTCCAAGGAATTTTTTAACAAAATTTTCACGTCACTTAATTTAAACGTCGTATTATTTCGCGCTACATCTCCTTTTACCTGCGCCCAGACTAATTCGATTGGGTTAAGTTCACAGTGATAAGGTGGTAACCGTAGTACCGTTATTTGGCGATTTGTTGCCATTTCATCGATAACATATTTTTTCTGATCTTTATTAAGATTGACAAGTGTCAAAAGTTCCTTTTTCACCATATTTGTTTCAAAAGAAATGTTTTTTCCGGATAACCATTGAATTATATCGGCTTTCCTCCAAGCAGTCGTAGGCGTCCGCTCGGTCTGCCGTGAATGGTAACTGGCATTATCCATGACAATTACAGACCCCGGAGGAATAAGATCCAACATCTGTGTAAAATACTCTTCGAAAACATCTGCGTTCATGTCTTCGTGATAGTCACCTGTATTTTTAGATTCAAATAAAAGTAAACCGCCATCTACAAAACCACTGGCACTACCTATATGTGTCACTATTAATCTTCGCCCTTTACCTGAAGGTGCCTTGAACCCTGTTGAAAGTCCATCCAAAAATGCTTGTCGAAAACTTTTTACATTTTTATCTTGCCATACTTTTGTTACAGTATATCCCTCGTTGACCCAAGTTTCGTCTAGATAATAAATATTCCTCCCTTCGTCACGGAATTTTCTAATTGATCTTAAGTAGGATCTTCGCCAACAAATAATTTCATCTTTATCGATAAGAACTGACTTCCTGTTCTGCTTTTCCCAGCAAAAATTCAACTCTCGTAAGACGGCCCATAATTTGCTTCTACTGATTTTTGGCAAATCGTTGTCCTCTGAAAGTTCACTTAAAATTTTGTTTAGCGTTGGTATTTCTTTTTTAAAATAAAATGAGTGTACTTTTCTGCGAATGACATTTTTGAAGAAATCATCTATAACGACTTTTGACCTCCCTGTAGATGATTTTGGGGGATTTACAGTATCTTGTTCATTTTTTGTTTCCTTTAAAAGTCTGTAGATAGTCGATTTTCCAATCCCTGTCATTTTGGAACACTTTTCCACGATGTCGTCAACACTGTTGGTAGGATTTTGGTGTTTCAATGCATTAAATACATTTAATATAATAATCTTCTCATTCTGAGACAGCGCACATCTTTTCACGCGTTTAGCAGGTACGTAATCTGATAAGCTCGACATTTTACCCAAACAATATTATATCCACTGGCACAATAGTCACTAAACACAAGTCGAATTTTACTCTACTGCACTAGCACGTCTTCGTATATTCAGCTCTAAGACTGGATTGATCTGTCACAATACACTGGCTCCTGCCCTATGATGTATCCAGTAAAATATACTAATGTACACCCATTACCTGTTAGCATTAGTGTTACCCGATAATTACCTGAAACGAAATATTACCACGCCCATGACCGGTTCTTATCTCGGGGTTTTATTACTCTCTTTCATTTCCAAACAGACTATAATACGAAACGTCAATGTACATTGTAATAACAATGTTAGGGCCAATTTAATTCAAGCGTACCCTTATAGGTGGCGTCCTCTACAAGCAGCGTCAAAAGCAATAACATATTGAAATTTAGCATCCTAAAAAACCGCGTACCGCAAGTTTTATGCCAACATTCAAATCGGTTTGGAAATTATTTCTAAAGAACCGAAAAAAATTTAAAAAAATTAACATCCTCTATATCGAAAACTAAGCATTGTATACCCACGTTTGTAGGAATAAAGTCTTATTTTGACCCCAAAAATATGTTCCCAAATTCTTTGTACTGAATTTTGAATCAGTCTGGATATGAAGCTTAAAAAATTCAATACTTATATAGATTATAAAAAATTGTAAGATATTTAAAAATTTAATTTTTTTAACAAATGTTATTTGTCACATTTTTGTTAATAATTATTATAGAAAAAAAATTGAGATCTGGGTTTTTCGCCGTCACACATGAGGCGGTAGTACCTGTTCCCCGACATTTATCGTACGCCGTACAAGCCCCCAATAAATAATCTCAGCTTCGATTCTCAAAACGCGACGTGAATGTTCGGCACGACGGTCACCTTCCCCGATGTAACGCCGCAACGGTACCGTTAACGCAGTACCACAGCCGGCCGTCTCCACGGCATTGGTACGGCCTGCCGACACAACACGACATTCCAACGATTAAGCCCTGATAATGTACGATGCATGTTATGCAATAAATCTCTTGTCACATTGTCGCCGATTGTTCACAGAAAATACTCAGCCAGTCGGTGGTCAGCGTCCACATGGAGGTGCGGCCCAAGTACCTGGTACCCGACACCAATTGCTTCATCGACCATCTGGACGGCATCCGGACCATAGCCCAGTCCCATTGTTACACCCTTATGGTCCCCATTGTTGGTGAGTTAATGATTCGCGCTAATGCTGCCACTAGCAGAATGGACGCCGTAGTGTACCCTGAATGGCAACATAAATATACAGATTTTATGCATATTCAGGGTATGACAATGGCGTGTATGGGGCGCTTTATGGTTCTCGGATTAATTAAAGTTGTTTAATGACTTCTGTGTTACATTGTGTGCATACATTGTCAAATTCTGGGCTCTACGTCTATTACTTTGGCTGGTACAACTAAGGAAAATGTTAGGTCTCCTTTAAAGTCGTATTAGGCATCTAAACTGTTTGACCTAATTTGCCTCTTCCCTACCTTGAGTATGTATTTAGTGTTTTTTGCCATATGTATGGCGTTCAATTAATTAAAAAATATATATTTTTGCAAAATGCACAGCAAAAAATAATTATTAATTTATTTATTTGAAAATAGAAATACAAGACTTGAAAAAACTTTTATTTGTTGTAAGGTAATTTTGTAAGTTTGAAAAATGCATATTCATTATTTTTATGGTTCAATATTTTTATTAAGCAAATTACTATGATATCGAAAAGATATTGAATTATTTTAGGTGTTTCTTTAGATAGTATAGTAAAAATAAATTATTCGAAATAGTATTTAAAATAGCCCACTAATTTTGGTAGAAAATATGGATTAATTTTAAATTACAGACAGTTGAAATTGAAAAAAAATGCTGTTGCTTTAAAAATACCTCAAGGGAGCACCATTATTTTTTTAAATTGGTATATAAGTGGAACAGTCTATTAGGAAAAAAAACTTTGGAAATAAATGCAGTTATTTACTTTAAAGGGGGACGGTCGATTAGGCCGATTTTCGGCCCTCTTCATTTTTGGCCAAAGAAAAGAAAACATTTTTATTATTTATATCCAATAACTAATCAATTCCACCCCAAACGGGACCTCCCCCTCCTTTCTAGTCAGGATCAAGGTCAATTAGAGGTCAGATTGAGAAAAAGTGCATTAAATCAAAGGATCTCGGCGTTTAGGTTTTTTTGGGTCGCTAAGTCCGAGGTTAGTTTGTCTGTATCAGGCCCTTTTGAGGTTGTTTCAAGGTCATTTCAAGGTTAAATTGATAAAAAACCGAGTAATCAAATCCAACCAGCTGTTATACAGGATTTTGGGGTTGCTGTGTTAGAATCTGAGGTTAGTTTGTCTGTACCGGGTCATTTAAAGGTCGTTTCAAGGTCAAATTGAAAAAGCCGAACAATTAAGTCTAACCGCCTGTTGTATAGATTTTGGGATAGCTGAGTTAAAATCCGAGGTCAGTATGTCTGCGTCAGGTCTTTTGAGGGTTATTTCAAGGTCATTTAAAGGTCAATCCAAGAAAAAAACGGGAAATCGACTACTGGTTTTGAAGTCTCTGTGTCCAAGGTCCGTTTATATGTATCAAATCAGGTTTAAGGTCATTATAAGGTTGATTTGAGAAAAAGAACGTTTTCTGGTAGGATTAGTGACATATAGACATATTCCTCCATAAAACGTTGTATTCTCTCGTACTACCCCATACCCATCTAACTCCAGACCTTTCTAATCCCATAACCTCCGTTACCCCTTTCCAACCCATATTTCTCTGTAAAAATCTATATTACCTTATACTAATTCGTTTTGCGTCGTAAAAACCTTAATACTAATATATTTCGGCCTATATTACCCTTGGTAATCTATATTGGCTTGCATAATAATTTTTTATCCTCTACTTTACAAAGTCAAAATACATGAAGATTGTAAAAAATAGCGATTCCAAAATCCCGTATAAAATGTGCCCGGACTCGATTCCTCGGCTTTTTTTTCAATTTGACCTCTAATTGACCTTGATCCTGACTAGGAAGGAGAAGGTAGGTCCCGTTTGGGATGGAATCGATTTAGTTATTGGATATAAATAATAATTTTTTTTCTTCCTTTTTTTGGCCAAAACCGGCCTAACTGACCTCTTTAAATTTAAATTTATTTATTTATTTATTTATTTCCCTACATGTACATGTACCAACTCCGCATTCCTATTTTATTGCTCGGTAGATAAGAGTTATTACCTCAATCCAGTCGACCAGTATTTCAATGGTGTACAAGTGTTTTTTTTTTCAAATTCGTAATAGTGACAAGTTTTTTTTTAAATTAATCTTTGATGTATCACATTTCTGTAGACCAGTTGTCAGTCGCATAATTTTCTTTTCAGATAAGGTATGTTTTGAACTATTACATCTATTGTATACAGAATGTTTCTAAAACATTTAACCATATCTCAATTTAATATTAAGCAAAAAGTTTCCTCGAAAACGATTAAGAAAGATACAAAGCTACTAATAGAAATTTATTTTTAAATAATTTCAAACAAATTAAGTTGTGAAATCCAAATGAAATTCGACGTAAGAGAATTATAATAATCTCATGGAGGACTGGTCTTTTCTCCTACGACTTGGTGGATTTGAAGAGTGTAATCGAAAATTGTTTTATTTAATAACAAAATGTATGTGGTATTTTCGGTAAAATATTTTATTGAAAAAACACACTCGTCCAGGAGCAACGACAGCAACCTCAACTACAGTAGTTTATTTACAATATCATTTTCTTACAATACTATAATGTTCAATTCTGGTTCTGTCGTTACACTCGAATATTACTAGCTGTCAAAGTAACACTTACAAAAAATAGACGATTCTATTCATGAAAATTTTACCATTTTCATGAGAATTTGCAAGATCGTATGTAAAACGTGTAAAGAGTTTCCAGAATTAAAGATTGGTTGATGTTAAAACGAAATGCGCAGCTATTATGTGACGGACCCGAATTCCGGGAAAATTCTAATAATTTCAAATTTTTTACATTGATGACATACCTCAGAACTGAAGATAATTGGGTTTATACGTCATACAATTCCGTGAACATAAAACACATGAAAATAAATAATTATTCCAAAAACGTTAATGGATTTTGAAAAAGGAACAAAAAGATAAATCAAATAATTTATCTATACAGGGCGATTCATAACTTATCCAAAAAAATTTGGGAATAGATGCAGCATGAGAAATGGAATCAATATCGTAAAAAAACATTTTGTAAAATCCTTGTAGTTTCCAAGAAAAAAAAATTGAAGTTATAGTACATTCAACCACTACATAGCTGGACAGCTGTAGTCTCTAGCGTCATTCGCCACGTGGCCTCGGCGACTCCGAATACTGAATTCGGATTTTGCAGTCGTCGTTGCGATATTTACCTGTTATCTGTGGTGTTTACAATAGGTTTTTAGTAGTTTGTGTCAAAAATGGGTAGTTAGTGTCAACAATGGTTTGCGTGTACTCGCAGTTGATGGATATCGTTTTAATTTATGGTGAAGCATTTGTGTTATGGTGAAACAAGACAACATTTGTGTTAGTTCGTAGAAACTGAGTACAACGTACCCAAATGTGTTTACACATTGGTGGGTAAAATATTGAACAATTGTTGTAACATCGGGTATGTCAAATGATTTTAGTGTTTAAAAACACAAATTAATCTTATTAATTAATAAAGGCAAAAGTAGTTGAATTTGCCGATATAAAATAGGTGCGATAAAATTCTATTCACATATTTCTTTCCTTGCGAAAGTTTTTGTCCGTTTTTATCACACCGCCATGCTGGTTGCTTTGTGCGGGGTCAGGTTTTACAGTGGACCAGTTTCCAGTGCCGTGCAGAAGTGTATTTTTAAATCATTTTCGAAATGCCCTTTTTGATTTTTTCTTGGCAAAATTGTATTTGTAAGGGTCCCCTGTACATCCAGAATTTTTTTTTGATAAGTTCTTAATCACCGTGTATATTTTAGTACATACACATAAACGCTTTAGATTGCGTTGTGCCATTTTTTTCCGTGAAGTTCCTATTAAAAAAAGCACTCTCATTTGTTTTCTCTGCGGGACCGTCCAAACGTGTGTCCGAATCTCACGCAGCGCCGCGGCGCGCGTGCATTGGCGTGCGGGCATGAGCGATCCGAGGAGCATTGACTTGGAAACATCGGTACGCAGCGTGGTGCTGCCTTCTCCGTGTGGTTTCGCCGTAGGCCGGTCAGGATGGAAGCGGAAAACGGTAGCCAGCGGGCGCCGCACTTCCACTCTCAACGCTACTTGCACTTTTAACGTCGACCCGTGCACGGCAGGACGGCGAACGCGGGACGCCGCACAGTGGGGCCGGGACGGAAAAAGTCGAGTTTCACGGAAGTGGAAATTCGGCGGACACAATACACGCTTCCTACAGGAACTAAGTCGTTGGATTTAGTGCGAGTGTTCAAGAATTAAAGTAATGGTTTTCTTTTTTCCAAAAATTTCGCTCTTGTGTTTACGCTCAAGCATGAAACAAATATTTCGGTTTTCAGCAAATACAGGGTCGCTGATACGTATGGAGACACAAATGTTTTAGGATTTTTTTTCAAATCTATTACAATAAAGAAAAATTAAATATACACGATCAGTCAAAAAATCATGACAAAACAAATTTGTTTTTTCTTTAATGGAACACCCTGTATTATTTATTCTATATTTCAATTCTTCCCGAGATTCTAAACAACATTCATATAGCACATCATGTACAGGGTGATATTTTGACCCCCTCTAACTTTTTTGTTTTAAGAGTTATAAACAAATGTGAAATACAAAAGTTGCACGATTTTTTATGAAGTTTTCTAGAATGATAGTAGAAAAACAAATGAAATCCAAACAAAATGGATTAACTTTGTTAATTTAAATGTATATTTTCACATATTTGGATAGAACGTTCCCTGTCTAGTATAGTCATATCGGGTTTGTTGGGTCCATCTCTAACAATAAGCGAGATAATATTAAAATACGAAAAGAAGGTCAATTATTAAGAAAATAAGACATTTTGTAATTGTTAGACCTCTTTCAGGCATTTCTGTTTTTTTTCCAATTATGTAAGGATTTACAGATTTAGTTGTAATATTTTGACATATCGGACATTGATATAGTCCAAAATGCGTATAGGTATTCTGACTATAATAAAGCTTCATTCACAACCAGCCAATTACAATTACAATTAGTACTTAGAATTAATATTAGACGTAGGGCGAAAATTAACTTGTTTTGATCATTCAGAACGTCGAATTCTAGCAAAAATTAATTTACATTGAAGGTCAAGTATTTCTCAATACCCAAGTGATTAGTGAACCCAATATTTTTCGCCGGAACGGCGCATTTCGTCTCGGAAACAGAGTTTATTGCACAATAATAATTTAAACAAACAAATTTAATATAAACAAACATTCACCATATTTAAGGTTAGGTGATTTGTCATTTACTCATGCGCACGCGCAAATATTTTTCAATTACAATTAGTGGCAAAAGCTTGGGCTTTGCAAGGTAATTCTAAGTGTATGTGTAAGTATCAGTGGAAACGTTAATTTAAAGGTTGTGAACGATCATGTATAAAGTGACATGCCAAACTTTTACCACTAATTCTAAGTACTAATTGTAATTGTAATTGGCTGGCTGTGAATGAAGCTTAAATCTCACTAATTAGGCGGTGTGAGGCCTAATGGATAATGTTATATGGTAGGCCGTGACAGTGACAGGTAGTAATATCATGATAACATTGTTATTGATTGACAGTTTGTATTATTATTTAATTAAAATGGGTCACATAGAAGTAGAAAATTGAAATATTATTAGGAATTAAAATAGAGTATGGAGATCTTTACTCTATTTTAATTCCTATATTTCAATTTTCTAGTTCTGTGTAACCCATTTTAATTAAATAATAATACAAACTGTCAAACAATAACAATGTTGTCATGACATTACCTGACACTGTCACGGCCTACCATATAACATTGTCCATGAGTAAATAGGCCTGTCACGGCCTAATTAGTGAGGTTTAGTTAGAATACTTATATGCATTTTGGACCGTATCAATGGACTATATCTAAATCTTTACGTAATTGGAAAAAAAGGCAGAAATGCCGGAAAGAGGCCTAACTATTACAAAAAAAACTTAATAAAAAACCTTCTTTTCGTTTTTTAATATTATCGCACTTATTGTTAAAGATGGACCCAGCAAACCCTATATGACTATGCTCGACAGGAAGCGTTCTATCGAAATATGTAAAAATATACAGGGTGTTCTAATTAAATTAACAAAGTTAACATTCGCGGCCGTTTTGTTTGGACTTCAATGGTTTTTCTACTATCAATTTCAAAAACTTCATAAAAAATAGTGCAACTTTTGTATTTCACATTTTTTCATAACTCGTAAAACAAAAAAGTTAATGGGGGGGGGTCAAAATATAGTGAATGACCTAAATTAACCGTTTTCGAGATATCGAACTTTGAAAGTAACTTTTTACTACTCTCAAATTTGTAAAAGAAGAAGGACCCCCAATTACGGATATTTAGTTTGAAAATAACACATGGTGCAGGATATGAATATGATTTAATTTTATTATTAGTTTTTTACAGAAAATAAACATTCAAAGGTAACTTGATGGACTGTAAACTTAATGGACTAAAATATTTTTGATTAATTTATAAGAAAATGATTTTCAAAGTTCGATATCTCGAAAACGGTTAAGTTTAGGTACATGATGTGCTATGTGAATTTTGTTTAGAATTTCGAGAATTGAAATATGGGATAATATACAGGGTGTTCCATTAAAGAAAAAACAACTTTGTTTCGTCGTAGCTTTTTAACTGATCCTGTATATTAATTTTTCTTTATTGTAATAGATTTTTTAAAACCCTAAAACCTTTGTGTCTTATGATTTTTCGATAGCGATCTTGTATTACGAGATAATCGACCGTTTCCATACATATCAGCGACCCTGTATATATTTTGTTGTAGAGTCTGTAAATTTGTATTAATTAGCTTTGTACACGCGGAAATATAAAATAAAAACTTTTTTATTTATTGTAACTTCACACCTTGTACCTTTTTTTCTTAAGGGTTTCCAGATATTTGTTAATATGAAACGTTTTGCTAAAATTAATTTTTTTATTAACTCTTTTAATTAAAAATGGGGCACCTTGTATATTTTTTTAAATGAAATTTCGAATTGTGTTTTCAAAAACGCAACTTGTCAACCATTGTCAAATTTTTAATTCGTTACTTTACCATAACAGTAACTCAACACGTGCTAATCGAATATCGTAGCATTATTTCATACATTGGTTCAGTCTTTTATAACTGTTTGTCTGAGGATGAGACACGTTGATCGAATTTATAGTTTCGCATTAGAACTCGGCCAAAACATTAATTCCGTGACAGGAGAATCCTGGAAAGTCAGAGAATAGGCGCTGGGAACAACCGATCGAGGAATTTTTTGTACGCCCATTACGGCTAATCCGATCTATCATCTTCGAAATGCGTTCGCAATGCGAGATATCCACTCCGCCGACCACTGCGATATCGATTGCGTACGGACGGGCATCGAGCCAGAAATCGAAGCAGGCGTCGTTCGAATACCGTGCGAGGAATTGGCTAGCACCCAGCCACCGCAGTCGATGGTACCGCGCGTATTGTGGGAAGGTGTTGTCCGTTATTGCAATTTGGATGTGCAGGTGTACTTCCGCGTTACATTATGCCGTGTGCACACGCTCCGTGCGAATCTCCTGGAAGTCCACCAGCGTTGCGGAAAAATTTGCATTTGTACCGCTGTGACGCGAATTTTTTTAATATAGTCCTCGAGTGCCCCATGATCATTCAAAGATGCAGGCTTCAAACTAGCAGAAGGGCAGCTCTAACAATAGTGTATGTAAAATTTGAACAAAAACTAAACTACCAGCGAAACTTCGAAATAGTCGAAATATTTTCCAACATATCGAAATACTTCGAAAATTAACTGCGTGGAGTTATCTCAAATACTTTGAATTGCAAAAAATCTCAGATCACTTTAAAAGCACTGAAAACTTCTAAACATTTGGAATGCATTGAAAAAATGTCTAAATACATTTCATATACGAGATATTTCAAATTACATCGAAATATATTAAAAGTCAAATGACTCCCAAATGCGTCGAAAACTTCCAAGTATTGGCAATGCATCTATAAAACGTGAAAATACTTCGAGAACTTCTAAATATATTGACATTTCTCGAACATCTCGAATTACATCGAAATATATCGCATGAACCTTACATTACATTCAAATGCGTCGGAAACTTCTAAGTATAAGCAATGCATCGAAAAAGCTTGAAAATACTTCGAAAATTTTTAAATATGTCGATATTCATCGAATATTTCGAATTACATGGAAATATATCGAAATAACCTCAAGTCACTTCCAGGTGCATCGAAAACTTCAAAGTATAGCAATGCATCGACCTGGAAAAAATTCGTTGACATTTTTCGAACATCTCGAATTACCTCGAAATATATGGAATGAATCTTACGTTACATTCAAATGCGTCGGAAATTTCTAAGTGAAAAGATTAAAAATACTTCGAAAATTTTTAAATATGTCGACATTCATCGAATATCTCGAATTATATAGAAATATATTGAAAGAATCTCAAATTACTTCCAGATGAGTGAAAACTTCGAAGTATAGTCATGTATCGACCTGGAAATAATTCGCAAAACCAACTTCGAAATATGTCGAAAACTTCTAAATATGTTTAAATACCTCGAGCACCTCAAACTACATCCAACTACTTCGAAAACTCCGAAGTATTGGCAATGCAATGGCATAACTTGGAAATACTTCAAAGATATGTTGACATTTTTGGAACATCTCGAATTATCTCGAAATATATCGAATGAACCTTACATTACGTTAAGATGCGTCGGAAACTTTCACATGTATGCAGAGCCTCGAAAAAACTTGAAAATACTTCGAAAACTTCTCAAGATGTCGACATTTATCGAATATCTCGAATTAAATGGAAATATATTGAAAGGACCTCAAGTTACTTCCAGATGCGTTGAAAACTTCGAAATATAGCAATGTATAGGCCTGGGAATAATTCGCAAAACTTGATTACTTCGAAATATGTCGAAAACTTCTAAATGCGTTTAAATACAAACTCCTCAAACTGCGACTGCGGCTAGGAAGAATTATCAATGCAATGACACAACCTCAAAAACTTCTAAATATGTTGACATTTTTCGAACATCTCGAATTACCTCGACATATATTGAAAGAAGTCAAATTATTTCCAGATGCACCGAAAATTTCAAATTGCAATAGGTAGAAAACTACGAAATACATAGTTTAAAATACTTTAAGACCATTTTATTTCGACGTTTTTTATAGTTTTCGAGAATTTGTTTTGAAAGTATTTCCAGAGATTTGTAAGTATTTGTAAAAACGTATAAAAACTTCTATGCATTTTGTAATTTCTGAAGATATTTATTTTGAAAAGTTAATGGTTTTCGAAATAATTCGAGATACATATTACGAACATTTGGTGATTTAAGAAATATTTCAAAATATTTCGATGAATTTCGAAGTAGGTACTTCCAAGTATTTCAAAATATTTTCTAAATACATTTTGCAAAAGATTTTCATCATTCATTGATTTTCATGTATTTTAAAGTACGTATTTTGAAGTTGTCGAGCATTTGTGTCACTTTTATACGTAAACTAATGCTTTTTACCTACAGAGGAAACAAATTTCCATTTCCTATCCTCAAAAACAAAATGAAATCGTACATGCCAATATAGTTCTCGAAAAAAATTAGTTTTAATAAAAATATGTCGAAGAAAATGTATGATTACACACTTCTCTCCATTGTTTCAGTTTTAAGCGAATTGGAGGGCCTGTCGCGAGGAGGCAAGGCGCCGACTCCTGACTCCCGTAGTTTCCTGGACCCCCAGCATGTGAAGAAGGTGGCGGAGTCCGCGAAAAACGCGCTGGACTTTCTACGGAACCGTCACGCCTCCGTCAAGTGCGTAACAACTAAAGGGGCCATAATCGCCTCGACCACCTTTTCCACGGAGGACGACGCAACTTGGGACAGCAGCCTTAGGAATGACGACAAAATTTTAACTACGTGCCTTGTCCTCTGTAAGAGCCACAAGGACAAAGACCAAGCTCAAGTTCCAGAAGGTAAGTGAGAGATATTATTATTATGGGAACAAACATCGTCTTGGTTTCCAATCTGAAACAATAAAGAAGCTAAAACACATTTTAGGGATTTGTTTTTGTAAATTAAATAGTAAATTTAACTTTTTAATTTTCTTACGAATTTCTACGCTGCGTTGTCTTATTATTGACGAGTCCAACGACACAGCAACAAGGATAAAGTAGATTCTAGACATGTACATCTTCTTCGGTGGAGTTTGTTGTAAAATCGGCGGCGCGACAATCTGCACCACTTAGGTTTTTGATCTATTGTGCATGCCGCTGATTAGAGTTTGGACTGTGCTGCGTGCGAAAGCAAGCACTAGCTCTGCTGGAGTTTCTCTCTAATGTGTTAAGTTGGCATCAGTGGTGCCACCAGGTGTTTGCCTTTTGAATCAGTGATAGAGGATGTGTTTGGGATCCTTGCTTTTATCCCCATGCTTTGATGTTGAATCCAATTATGTTGATGTGGTTTTCTCCTGAAAATAATAATAATAAGTAATAAAGAATAATATCCTTTAAAATTTTATGACAATGCACGAGAAAATATATCTATTAATACAGCAATTTCTCGCAACTTGGATTTTGAGTATTTTCATGTTGTTTTACAATTTTTGCCTGTAAATTTTCATCGGAATATCATTTTGTAGCTAAAAAAAAAAATGTGTTTTGGGCGAATATTGATATTTAATACCTAAACACTAGAAACATTTAGATGCGCATAAGTAACAGTTAAGAAACAACTAATTTTAACACGAACAATTAACAGTTCTATCGGAAAAGGACTCATATTTTTCTGAGATTGTTTAAATTTTTGTATTATTCCGCAATATAATTTGTGTTACACTTTTAGACTGACGTATAGGGAATAAACGAATTTTCCTTCTTTATAGGGGAACCTCGCCACCTAGTTCGCGAAGTGGTGCTGATAACCGAAGACCGAAACCTAAGAGTTAAAGCTCACGCTAGGGATGTTCCCGTGAGGGAGCTGCCCGACTTTATGCGTTGGGCAGGACTGGGATGAACCTAATTACTAATCATTCAATTGCCAAGCAAATTCTCCCGCTAACACAAGTCCTGTGGTCTTTAAATCTGGTAAGTACGGTTCAGTAACTCTCTGCCACTATAGACGAGATGTGCCACTTAACATTTTCCTTCCTTGGGAACAAGAAAATGTATTTTAAATCGTTGCTATGTAGTCATGGACGAAATATAGTAGTGTTAAATACAATATTATATTTATATTCATACTTGTAGGTGGCGCTGTCGTGCAAAATCGTTCAGTCCCCATAAATTACACAATTGTACATAATTTTTTAGCGCACTGATGAAAGTACAAATTGTTTCGCTCAAATGTTACGATTAGAGTTCGGGAGACGTGGCTCTTAACAGGGCCGTATTCGGCTCACTCCCAATTCTTATTTCGGTTGTCTAGACTATTGGAACTTGTAGTCGCGCTGTATGTATGGATAATCCGAACAGAAAGTTGACAGACCACTCCGTTCGGATTACCAAAACTTTCGAATTACAGAATTCATAATGATTGATATCTATAATCCGAACACGTTTGGTTTGTACAGGGTGTTAGAAGTTTGACTGTCTTAATTTTAACAGACGATAGAATACATTAAAATTAAAAAAACCTTATATGACATGGGTCCTAAACTCAACCATTTCCAAGGAAAAAATGATCAAAATCTCCAACTTGATCTACAAAAGTTCGGTCAATTAAGGAATATTGACATAACTGCGTGCATAGAATACCATACAACTCGGTGTTTATAACTTTTTGAATTTCTTTATGCTTAAGTCTAAAAAATAATTAGCGTTGTAATAAATTTAAAATTCGATAAAATTCATATCGAGCAATGTGACAACGGCGCGGCGGATAACAGGATGTACTAAGCTGTCCAGCATTACGCAATTCAGTTGGTATCTGGAATTGGCCAGTGTCTGAGTGTTTTTTTGCGTACCACTATTTCCTTTTGCTTTTGGGTAAGTCCCTAAATTGTTTTTAATACGTATGATTATTTGCACGACGTGAATCTTTGGGTACTTTAATTACATATTTTTCAAATACGTAATTTGATTAAAAGTTAAGTTCCTGTTTTAGGAGATGCATAATTACTAAAATTCGAGCTAAAATTTAAGCACAACTATATTCATACTACAAAATCGATAAATTTTATTTTATTTGGAAAACAATTGTGTATTTCGCGGACGGAATGTACTGTTCTTCGGTGTGTGTTGTGCCCTTTTACAAATTACTATTGACATGTAATTAAATTGACGCAATTTGTAGACAAGTTTCCAATTAATTGTCGATATTGGTAATTATTTTCTTGATATGTGAATATCGCTATAAAATACGTACAAAAGTAGCAGTACCTATCTTTTTACTATACTGGTATTAAAAAGTATGATTATAAATAATTCTTTCTCTCAACGTTATATTCCTTGGTTAATTGACGAACGTTTTACGGTTTGGAATGGGTCAACGAACGTTAAAAAAAATACCTATAATTTATTTTATAGTTGTACATCGTTGAAAATCTATTGTGTTTAGTATATTTAAGGGGATAATATAAAATAAACTTAGCTATGAAATATCTAGGAAGAATAAGCTGAAAATTGAAAGGGTTAACAAGTATAATAAACGCGAAACTAAAGAACTAAAAAGAACTATTAACAAATTTAGCCACTGTTGATGCAAAATCAAAAATGTATTCAAAAATTAACAAAATGTAAACAAACAAAAGTAAATACATCACTAACACGTGATAACTCAGAATATGCATGTGCAGATGGTTTAAAATCGATCTATCTTATGTTTCACTGTAGATGATCCAATTTCTATTAATCGAATCAGCAAGATTTTTAAAGGTATTTATGATTTTTTGCACATTTATTAAGCAACTGATGGTCTAAAACAGTACGTGTCAAATTGAAAAAAAATATATATATGAAGGTTTGAGATGAGGATTTGCATCACACCAATAGTGAATGTTGTGAAAATTTAGTATGCCGTCTCCAGTAAAACAACATTCATCCGTAAAAAGCACCTTGCTTGTAAAATCCGGATCTTGTGCTATTTAATGTCGAAACCAATGACAAAATTCCACACGGGGCTCAAAAACCATTATTATTTAATGCCTGAACCCTTTGTACATGAAAGGGGTGTAATAATTGTTCCCGTAGTAGACGCCACACGGTAGATACACTAACTTCTGGGCCAATGACGCTTGTATTAAAACTCACAACGCATGTGCACAAGATGCACAGGTTCGGTTTACATTTACACCATCAGTTGCTTAAAAAAAAGTTGCCCATTTTCGTGCTCTCCGTAACCCTTTTCAAAAAACGCCCTGTACATTTGAAAAATTTGAGTTGCATTACTTATCAAAATCATTTCTTATATTCATATACAGATTCGCATAATTTATTTCACTTTTAGTTAGACCGAAAGGTACACGGAAATTTGATTATTTCTCTTTAATAGTGTTTGTCTAACTATGCAAAATATTAAAAATCCATCAAAAAAACAACAAAATTGCAATTATTAGCATACGTAAACAGGAAAAAAATATTGCCAAATATTATACTCTGCGTAGACGCGCTTAAATTTTTTGTTCCCGAGATAGAACAAATTGTTTGCACAACAACGCCACCTACAGTGAAGATAGAAATTAGATTTTTATGCTAAGTTGAATTCTTTATTGTCCCCCTACTTAGTAAACTTGTTTCTGTATAACGTAGTTATAGAAGCAATCAAAGTTACGCAAGAAAATACTAGATGGCGACTGTCATAAAATCCCTACCATCCTTTTAAACTGATAATATTGCGGGAAACTACTCTGCGAGCTACATGTTTCGACCAACATTTAATTATACCAGCATTATCCAAAACAGCTAGGATCATCCGTCAGCCGAACCCAATAGACATATATCGATTTCGGACTTATTAGTCTTCGTCAGTTTGCCATAGGTGGGCGGCTGACGAATGATCCACTTATTTTTTATGTCTTAACTACAGACGTGAAATTAATGTACGCCACATCTATGATTGGTTATTTCAACTTGATGCCTAGGCCTTCAATACGTCAAACTGACAGAGAGTGACCTACAATTTACTGGTACTGATCGGAGCACAGAGCCCGCAGAGTAGTTGTTTCTCGCAATATCATCCGTTACATCTAGTTGGCAATTCATCGTGCTTTCATACTGCTTGCAGTATTGCAGGTCTTTTCGTCGACAGTCCTTTACGTATTCCATCTCATTCCATATACAGACATGAACTACAGAGTTAAGACGCCAAAAGTTTTAATCGTTTGTCTCTTGTCTATGGCGTACTAATGAAGAGAGAAGAATGAGAATTCCGAAACCGGTATGTGTCTGGTGGGTTTGGCTGACGAATGATGTTAGTTGTTTACTAAAATATTTGCCGGTCGGGACATGTAACCCGCAGGGTAGTTGTGTTCTGCAATATCGTCAGTTATCGGTTCGTCTATTTCGATAGATTGAGCTTATCATATTACCTATGAATTTGCAGGTCACTCTATGCCAGTGTGGGTGTATTGAAGGCCTAATAGCAGTGACCATTCATAGATTATTTACACTACGATCAAGGGTGACAGGGATTTTATAGTAGAGTCGCCATCTAGTATTTCATTCCTAAACAAACAAGGCTAGTCCCGATTTAAAATCGTTTTTTTTTTGTTTTAATGTAAATTACTGCGAGAATGTTAAGCGGTGCACTCTCTGTATTATTTATTTTCTCCCTCAGGTTCCCGACGTGGCACGTACTGAGCAAATGAGCGGAGATTTTCAAATTTGCATCATGTTTTGATCGTCATTAGTAATTTATTGATTAGGATTTTCTGACATCACCAAGTAACTCACACTATTTTTTTTTTACTTGATCGGGTTGTGATGACTGCATTCCTCTACTCCCGGTTGACTTAAACTAACACTTAGCGCCATCTGTGCCATTTTTATATTGTGTTTATTCATTTTATACAAGGTGTTTATTTTTCTTTAAAATTCGGTTCTAGTAAACAAGAACAACAAAAAAAGAACTAGTAAGTCATTATGTAGGCCATGATTTAGAATAGTTTATAATGTACTTATTTTTTATTCATATTTTTGTGCCATCTATCATTTTTGGCAACATTTTATTATATAGTTTTTAAAGTATTCGACAATTATTATTACTATTATTATTGTATTAGGATTTATATACATTTCATCTATATATAACGTGTTATAGTTAATTGCAATGGTTTTGCTCAGGAATTTATTATAAATAATATACAATTTATAAAGCACAATTTTGTTTCATTTCTTTCCCCATCGGCCGCATAGGACGTTGAAAGTTAAAAGTAAACTATTTCCTCAAATTTGTTTTGGCTGACAACAGATTCCTTCATTTAGAAGTAAAGGTAAGTGTAAAAAATATATGCTAAAGTAATATATTAACATACTTTAATTATACAGGGTGTGGCGTGTATAATCTATAGAAATTAAACTACAGCTTCCTAACGAACGATATTTATAATAGAAAAGTCTTATATGAAAAAGTTCTATTTTTGCGTTTTTTTTTTGTAAATTAAAGTTCAATTATGGATCAAAATATTTTCTCTGGAACGGTCCTGTCCGTGTGCTGTGCGATGAGTTACGTGCTGTAGACCAGCTACGTAAATAAATCGTTGTTGAAAGATAGAAAGATAGAAGACAGACAATTTTTGGGTAATTTTTCAATGTAAAATACAAACTAAGAAAAAAAAACTGATTATTTTCTTATTATAATCATTAGTAGTAATTACTATCTTAAATGAATTGTTGTTACTGCAAGAGTTCGCAAACAAAACCACATTCGAAGCATCTGTAGTTGCCAACTGCGTGCACTAAACAAACTCCATTAAAATATGGAACAAAATGAAATAAAACTCACCATTTCTAGAGATAATGTTGAAATTGATCCCCATTAGCGCGGATACAGGCATGGCACCGACGGCGACGCACCCAATTTTGGCGAATATTTTGCCAAATTCCAGGTATTCCCCTAATTGTGTCAGTAGCTTCAAGTATACGGTTTCGCAATTCTTCCACCGTAGCAATAGGAGTATTGTAAACCAATGACTTCAAGTGACTCCTAAGATAAAAGTCCATTGGAGTTAGATGGGGTGACCGAGGTGGCCACGGCACAGGACTAAAGCGTTCAATCCATCGCTGAGGCAACATATCATTCAAAAGTGTCGTTACTTTTCGAGTACTGTGTGGAGAAGCTCCATCTTGAAGATAAAACATGCGTGCCCGAGCTTGTAATGCCACATTGTCCAATAATTCAGGTAACCGGTTCTCCAAAAAGTCAGCATATGTTGGTCCATTTAGTCGTCCTTCAAAGAAATAGGGACCCACAAGTACATCGCCTATTATGCCAGCCAAACATTTACCGAGAACCGATGTTGAAAATGAGTTTCCCTAATCGCGTGAGGATTTTCATTGGCCCATATGTGCATATTATGGAAATTCATTTCATCACGGGTAAATGTCGCCTCATCTGTTACACAAACATAAGCAGGAAAGTTTACTTGGCACATTGCCGTAAAAACCATCTGCAAAACAATCCGGGGGTAAAATCTGTTGAACTGTTGATAGGAGTGCAACAGCTGGCGCCTCAAGATGTGATGTACGGTACGAGATGAGGTCCCTACTTACTGTGCGGGTCGTCGAGTACTAATTGTGGGGTCTTCGACAAGGTTTTCCAACACTGCATTTTCAACATTAAGGTTCACTTGGCGACCACGTCTTTCTCCTCGAGGAATAACACTTCTCGTATCTCGCAGCCGCTGAACGCACTGTAGGATTGTATTTACACATGGGGGATGACGTTGTAGCCATCGTTCCCGGTACAACCTAGTCACCGCGAGCGCATTTTCTCCGGTTGCACCATACACTAACACCATATCGGCACGTTCGGAAATAGTAAATGCATTGTTTTCTCGGTTCATTGTAGAACTAGTTTGTGCACAAACTAAAAAATTAAGCAAAGTAAGAAATAAGAATCTCGTTTTGAATGTATTCGGCACGCTATTCTTATTTTTTACTTCTTTATAAAAATTACAGTTACTATCGTGGAATTACAAAATAAAAACTTTTGTCTGGAATCTTTCACTTTTTAACACTGATGGGTCGATAGACGATGCTTAATATTTAATAATTAAGTGAATAATGAATTCAATACAAATACAAAATCAGTTGACTGCACAAATTTTTTGACAATGTAACCTAACCTTCTTTTAGTATTACTAGTATTAGATTATAGGTACCGACTTAAATTATAAGGTTGCATCTCGGGTCGCATAAAAACATTTTCAGTTTTTAATAAATAACAGGGTCGGCCTTCATTTTCGTTGAACAAATTTAATTTACAAAAGAAACGCGAAGATAGAACTTTATCGTATGAGTTTTCTATTACAAAGATCATCAGAAAGCTGTAGTTTAATTTTTATAGATTATACACGCCACACCCTGTATAAGGTGATTCCGAATTCAAAAAACTTTGGGTGTATATGTAAATATTTACAAAGTTCGAGAAATAAATGTTTGCACTTGCCCGATTTAAAAGCACTGGACTGGACGTATTAAAAAAATATGTCTTGAGGTACTTCAGCAGATTTGATATATCTATGCCGATTCAGTATTACTGTGGTTTTCATAGTGCTCTTATTATTGTGGTTTATTGTTTATATCAGTCTTGCACAAGTGTTCAAAATAGCAATACACAATTAATGGATATGACTTTAATGATGACAAAGCAAGAGAATGTAACCACCTACGTTTATTAGATGCAGAATTTTAAGATATTTATGGTGACGCGATTTTCCATATTGACTACCATAAAACTTTTTTTAATTAGTAACTTAAGTGGGAAAATTGGGTGCTGCAGTCGCAAAATTGCAATTAAAACTATCGGCAAAACAAACCGGCGATATTTCCCAGTCGAACCGTGAACAACTTAACGTTTCCTACTACACTTCATACACGCTTAAGAGAGAGGTCAGTCTCCCATGTTAGGCGCATTATGTAATTAATTACCTGCACACCAAACAAATTACAGCTGCACTCCCATGTGCTCTGAATAGCAATGCGAGACGCCAAATCACTAAATACTAATCAAGACTGCTGATATGATCAATCAGTGAACTATGCTAGATAAACAGATTCTTGGACGTCGACTGTCACGAAAATGGAAGACTGGGAAATTAGTCTGAAAAAATAATATTGGGCGCGTACGGAATTTCAAATTGGTTTAGCTACACATTTTTCGGTCTTGCGCACAGCAATCTCGATTACAAACGTCCTGTGTAAGCATTAAGGTACACCAAATTTCGTGGTCACTTAAACCATGGACCAATTGGATTTGGTCTTCTCCCTGGAACAAGCTTTAATCCTCAAAGGTCACAATTGAGGTGGGCCACCTTAAAGGTCACACTAGTGCGAATTGGGATTTTGTCAACATTGAACCTTTATTTCTTCATTATTAACATAAATATATAACGTATTTATATCAAAACTGGGATAAAATTTTCTGAGAAATCGAATGATGTACCTAGTTAGTTTTGAAAAAAAAACAATTGCTAATAAAAAATGCGATTGAAACAAATATTTTTTTAAAAATCGCTTGTTTTTACATTCGTATTTTTGTATAGATAATGGCTAGAGAGAAAATAAAAGATTTTGCAGTTTTGGGTCTATATTTTAGGGTGAATTAGGTGAAAAAATCGGAGATCTGCATTTCAATTCACTTTTTTTCTAGCCATTTTTGCTCACACTAAACTCACATTACTGCGAATTCGCACCGTTCGGATGCCATCTACGGTACGGCTCAAGTGTTTGGGCTATAGAAGGAATTATCGTGGTGGGAGGAACCCTACCTGATAAATGCCAGCTATTAAAAAACGGTAGTGCGAATTCGCGCTAATCTGCTTTGAGGGTTAATATAGAAAGCCAAACGCCTTGTATTACCGACGAGTCACGTTTCCGCCATCTCTTGTTGACTTATGGCAAATTTAAAATGCTTAGAAGAAATTTTACAAAAATTATTTCTCTTTTCTATTATTATCTTTCACAAACTGTTAATAATACCTAAGATAAATAATAATCAATACAAAGCATAAAGACAAAAATTAAATAAATTGGTAAAATATAATACTACTATCATTAATAATGGTCATTACCAAATAATAATTAATAAAGCTCGGGATTTTCGTCATAGACGTGTTCGTCGTAAACAAATAAATAAACAAATAGATTTAAATAAAAATAAATAAATTTGCGTACTATATCAGCGAAAGTCGTTTTTTAGAATTTAGAATTATTAGAATATTAAAACACATATACACGAAGCAAACGCGAAACCAATAACTGCCGTTATTACTGGTTTCGTACGGTGCACTGGTGCTATAGCGAAAGGCCAACGCGACGGCTATGATCATCCGACCGAGTCCCGAGCTGTAATCATTAATATCACATATTTATTTGAATTTATATAATATATAAGAAAAATAACCTAATGTAAGTCAATATTTACTAATACTGATTTTGAAATATAATCAAACAGCTCTACTACTAATTATCTGCTTTTACCTTGTTACTAATTTTAGTTCTCAGTTCACACTTTTCAAACAAAGATTACGTGCCACGTTTTTTTCGAATTAAAGCATAAATGAAAAATTATTCGTTTCTCTCTAGAATCCAAAGCCTTGTTTTTTATGTTATTTTTCCATTGCATGCAAATATGCATCTGAAAGCGGCTTAACTTTGTCAATGTCTTTGCAGGTAAAATTTATTTCCTGTAATATTGGCAAACCTTTTTCTTTTTGTTCAACTATATTAATGAAATCCCCCAGCAGTTTTGACCGTTGAGCGTATAACAGTTTATTATGACTAACCCCCTTGGGTCGACGTCCAGAGGGCGCCTCGGTCCATGACGTGAGATACGACATTGTTCATTTATTATTTTTACGCCGCGAGTACTGGGAATCCGTATATATAAATTTCTCCAAACAAAAAAGTAATGTTATTGCAAGACTGATTAATGGAAATGACTGGGAGACCAAATCTCAATTCGTACATTTCTCATAAGACACTGTAATTTCTCCCAAGAAATGACACCATATTTTGTGAGTTTAGTATTAACAACTTGTTTTCGTTTAACAGAAATAAAGGAATCAAGGAAAGGAATGACTAGTATAACGAAGTGGAGACAGAGGTAATAAACAT